TTGATGTGGAGGATACGTTCTTCCAACAAGACGGTAGGACCTGCCTCACAGCACGCGAAACAATGGTGTTACTGGGGACCAAGTTTCCAGACCGCGTCATCTCTTGGTTTGGCGATCGAAATTGGCCACCAAGATCGTGCGATCTAACGCCAATGCACTTCTTCCTCTGGGGCTACGTGAGGGAAAATATGTATGCGAACAAGCCACAAACAGTTGAACGCATTGAAGAAGAGGTACAGCGAGCTATCAAAGAAACAGAGCCACATTTATGCAAAAACGTTATCCAGAGTTTTGAGAAACAGCTGACCCTGTGCCAGAGGTTTCGTGGTGGCCATTCACCGGATGTCCTATTTCTCTTTATGTTGAAATATAAATACTCGCTTAGTTTGAAAATCAAACCCAGCGCTCTTATAAAGACGCCCTTTACAAAAAATGCCTCCTCTGGGAACAAACGCAACCAGTAAAACTATTATTTTATTCAAGAAGAAGCCAGAAATACTTATTGGAAACTCAAGATAATTTATTAAGCCGCCCCTAAGTACACTAATCACTCCCTATCGAATAATGAGCCATTTAATCAAGTATTTATAAAATAAATGAAAGATAATAGTTACATGATAACTAATATTAACCGAAGTCATGGAATACCAAGAATATCGGATACATGCAGAACTACCTCAAATATGAGAGAAAAAGTACGTGAAAAATTCGTCTTCACCTTTTGCTTTTTTCCACAAGAAACGACATGTCAATATAAGCTGCTGAAAACTGAAAAGATCATCAGAAGAGATGGCAGAAGACTCAGATAACATTGAATCTTTTAAAATACAAAGAAACTGCTAATAGTTCAAAATGTTAAAAACCCATCGATTTTCCAGCTATTGGATATATATCCTCCTTTAGAAGTTTATTGAATGTATTAAAAAAATCCACTTATAAATAGGGAACACAATTTTGATATACATTATTTTTCTTTTTAAAACCCACACTGCACTTTTTTTGTATTTAAAGAAGGTGTTCAAAATGTCGTCCTCCACTTTCCACATAAGCTTCATTACGACAAACCCAGTTTCTTACTCTAGGTACTCGAAGTTGTCCATTTATTATTTCAGCCGTATAAAATTTTTTTTCGCGGAGTTGTGCTTCAGTTGTTATTGGACTTGCCCCATAAACCGTCCCCTTAAGTTCTCCCCAATACCAGAAGTCTGCCGGATTGAGGTCAGGAGATCTTGCTGGGCATTTTCGAGGATCATGAGCATTTCGACCAATCCAGCGATTTGGATAATGTTCACTCAAATACTGAATGACGCCTCTAAAAATGTGTGGTGGTGCCCCGTCATGAAGAAACCACAAATTCTCTCTCCGTTGTAATCTCATGTTTTCTAAGGTCTGTTCCAAAAGTTCTGGTAGGTTATTGGCTAGAAAGCTAAGGAATCCTTCTCCTGACAACTTTGGGGGTAACTCGAAAGGGCCAGTTACCTGATCGTCAAGAATACCCGCCCAAATATTTATTTTAAAACGAATGGTATGAGGATTTTTTTGGGCCCACGTGTGAGTATTATGGAAATTTGATATCCCGTCTCGCGTAAAAGTATATTCGTCCGTCGCTAGAATGTTTTTAAAAAAATCCGGATTTTCAATGTTTTTGTGCAAAAACCACTGACAGAATGCTAGTCTGCGAGGATAGTCTTCTGGTACATGGTAGGGATAAAGCAAATTTTCCCGTAGAATTTTACATGGACTATGGTATGCGATAGTCCTACGCGGCGGCCTAATTCCCGAGTGCTGATATCTGCATTGATTTCCACGATATTTAAAATTTGTTCCTCCTGCTCTACAGTAACCTGTCTTTCACGAGTGTGAATATTAGCGGGCTGACCACTTCCTGTATCTCGAAGTCTTCTGTACACTTGCACAAATGTCTTTCTGTCTGGGTGTGCCCGTTGGCGAAATGTGTCGCGATAAATTTGAGCTGCAAGATTTGAATTCTGGCGAGCTTCACCGTAAAATAACAACATGTCGGCGAACTTTTGATTTGAGAACATTGTAAATCATCACGACGACGTACGCGAACAAAAACAAAACAACATACTAACCACTGTTACCGTTTGCGATCGATTGCCGGTTCGATAAGAGTGACGATGACCGACGCGCTGTTGTCATGTGTGTTTTAAATATGCAATTTAATGAAACTTACTTACCGACTACAAATTCTGGCTTAACTTAGAAGAATTTAATGCCATTTATTTGTTAATTACCCAATTTGAAAACGTTTTTTAGGATTAGATTATAAAAAATAGTAAGATTGTGGTGTTGTGGTCGATATAAAGCACTTAAAGTTGTAAACTATAAAGCCATTTAGACAAAAATCTATTGACTTTTGGACCATGGGTCATAAGAACTTTTTCACTTGCTTTGACCCTCCCTACTACCCACTTCAATAATGACTACCATAACGTTTACACCCTGTAGATATACTTTTTACACTAGGAGCGAACAAGAGAAAGAGAGGACGTCACACGGACACTTTTAAGACAGTATACATATTTTATTTATCTGTGATTCAGGTGACACTTTGTTTTTCCTTTCATTTTCACTTTACTACACAGGATAAGTTTCAAATACTGTCTTGATATACACCTTGGGAAAAAACATTATTATACATTATGATGAGGAAGAGAGATGGAAATATACAAAAGTATGTAGGTGCGTGAAATACACTCGATTGTAGGATCGTATCTGGCAGCGTCGGAGTGTGACGGACAACGGGGTAAAGTAGAAGAGTGATAAAAGAGAGAGATGGCAGAACGGGCGCTGGCGCCTACCGCTTAGACGGATGCGCTCAACAAATGCGATTTGTTTCTCCCATTCGCAGAGTTGCCGATATCAATATGTCATATTTCTAAGAAATCTAAGTCTACCCAAATTTCGGTAAAAATAGCTGCGGATTCCACATAAGAGTATTCCAAAAATGAAAAAAGTTCAAACTATTAAAATTGTATCAATGTTTCATGGTTCAAATCATATTTTTCATGTTTGTATATTGTTGTATAAATTATTTTGTAATCCCTACTCTTGTTGCCAGTAGAGATACAACAGTATTGAGAGAAATCATGGACCGCTAGATAGGGCTACAACTACCATATGACTATCAAATAGTAGTGATAAACAGGGTTTGTTTATAGCACAGTTGCCTGGTGTGGCGAATTTGCGCCATAGGGGCGATTTGACAACTTTGAAGGACAACTATAACGGTTACTATGGTGCCCGGTATTAACGTTTATTACGCCAGATTGTTTGCTGACTTGCGCAGTACAACATGACAATCAACGTGACTAAGCACCTGGTAACCCTGGTCTAAGGTGTTATATTTAAAGAGCTTGGGGCAGTTAGGTATCTAGGTCACATTTTTTAATGTATTTCGAGAAATCCGTAATGTTGAGTAAATACTAGATCACGTTTCTTGCTTGGTTTGCTGAAAATTCTACAATAGACGTACATTTTGAGAAACAGAGATTTGGTGACGACAAAATCGTAAAAATATAACGCATTTTCGTAAAATAATTTCTTTGTTGAAAAGACTGTCGCTTGATGACCCATTGAACGAGTATAGTGTCCCGCTCCGCTTTGAATATTCGAAACACTATACTCCAGCAGCATTCAGCTTCAATGTTATCTTTATGAAGTTCTAACGTCTAGGCCATGCTGATTAAAAGCTTGAATGAATCAACACTTTACTCTAAATTCCCCACAGTTCGGGAAGCTCTACTCAAATTGGCAACACAGCGTATCTGCCTATTATTCTCATTCGTGATACAGGTCTGCGGTTAACGGTAGGAAATATATACGAATAGCGATGAAAGTAGACGAGCCGATGCGCTGTTGCCAAGAAATGATTTCCCATGTATAACAAAGGTTTTTCCTAAGGTGTATAGCTTGATAAAGTGAGGACGGGGAGGTCAGTTACACGTCAAATTTTGCCGCTACATGGGCAATACTTAGACAGTGCTGCCATGTATACTTCCTGTAATGGTAGGGTTCTGCTATGTAGATACTCTATCCCATCCGTAGTCCATTTAAGCCCCGGCACAACAAAGATGTAGCGCAGCAAAGCGGCAGCCACCTAAGCGTTGCAATATCTATTGGTCATTCGGCCATAGTCTACGAACAAGTGTAGGATTCGACAGGATAGAACTCAGACTCGAGTTACCGCCGGCACGCCGACGCCGCCAGTTGCTGTTCATATTCGGTGCATATATAGCGTGTGTTTATACGTTAGCATGTCGTCTATGGATACAGCAGATGTAACTGAGTATATTTCTCCCAATGCTTCCTTCAGTCATGCTTCCTCTTCAGTGATGTCTCCTCCCCGGAAGGGTGACAAGAAGCGAAATGTGAATATTCAGGCAAAAGAACTTGTCCTTAACGTTCATGAGAGCGTAATTTTAGATAAAGTATTACAGGAGGTTAATAGTGATGAAGACTTACCTACTTTCAAAAGAACCACGTTCTGCAGTTTATTCAAAGAACTATTTTGAGTATAGAAAACGGGGTAGAAATAGTATTTTGATGGAAGTTTTGTTACTTGGACGAAACCTGGATAAATGCAGGACATAAAAAACGTAAAGTATATAAGTAAGAATCTTTCAGGTATGCGTATCTAGCCAATTCGTCATTTGTGTTGTAAGAATGGTGTCAAGTATGTGTCTATGAGCCCACGCTGAAAGCTTAGCTATATCTGGTGCATTTGGAACCGACATGTGTTAGATACTCTGCTTGTATTATTATTGGATTTCTCAAATATTATATGAAATACTTATTTCCAGGAAAAGGAAAACGAATTGATATCTGTCTATTCCAAGACCATTGAGGAAAATACGGACCTGTACAATCTCGCTTTTGGGCATGTTGTGTTTAGTGTGGGCGTAAATATAATATACGAATGAAGTATAATATAAAAAGAATTGACGCAACTAAAAGAATCTCTATTTTTGTTTCAGATGCAAACCAGCCATTCTCTAAAGACAAGCTGTACTATCCACCACCAAAGAAGCGATTCTTTGACGACCTAGGACGTAAGTATGTAAGATAATATTCAAATAATTCGACATAAGACGCTAGTTTTCAAGTAAAATATTACCAATACTCGCACCAAATCATGTCAAAATTCGAAACTACGGATGTTAAGCTTAGTTGTCACGCGTGCATACAGAGTCGACTTACTTGATTCAGTTCTTCCAACATACTGTACCTACTATTCACTCCACCCTGTATCTATATTGCAGCAGCTTACCATCTGGCATAAAGCCCAAAAAATTTACGGTAAAATCCCGCGTGGCATATGTCGTTATCGTGCTCATAATAATTTGAATATCACAACACGAGCGCAGAAACATATGCACGATTTTTACGCGGATGAGAAGAGTTTCTTCTTCGGCGACCTAAATTACTTCTTTGCAGTTTCCGGCAGCAAATTGCCGTTTTCTATTGTTTTTGTCGTCGTAAGTGTGTCGTTGCCGGTTGACAATATTTTGTATTACAGGCGCATTGTTACAACGATCAAGTTATTATATTTGCGTAATGAAGGTTATGTCACTTTTGATAACACCCCCATACGATTTAGTACAATTCGGAGCGCGACTTGTGAATCCTGTATTTTAATTAATTTATTGTCTGCCGGTTTGCACAATTGTGTACACTTTTAATTCCTACACTACTAGCGAGTATCTTAATCACGAATAATTTCGAAAATGATATGTTCTGTTTCTTGAATATTATAAAAAGATGGATAGATAGATAGATGGTTTATTGTCTTCGGATCATAGATATAAGACTCGTCCAATATACCCATTATTATCACCAAAATTTTATAATATACTGAGTGAGAAAAAAAGGTAAACACTTACGTACCTACGTCAATAATGTGGATCTTTAACACATTATTGAACCAGCTTCAGTCAGTTGACGAATCAAGCTGAATATTAATTTTACTAGTAAGGGACACTGAACATATATATGCCAAAAATTGTTAAAATCGGACAAATATACGTAGGTGTTTACCTTTTTTTGCCAATATATTAGGAAAATGAGCAAGTCATTTGGGTATTTGAAGGATAAGAGTTTCCCATTTATTTAAACAAATTAAAAACATAAAAGTTTAGTCGACTTTTTACACAAAACTATATACGTTAAGCCAACTTTTATTGGAAACTTTCATAACTTAACTCAGCATTAACCACTTTCTCGCAATATTTCCAAATTTTGTAAACTCAAAAATCAAATGAGTTTTATAGAACTTATACTATTCCAAAAAAAATATAACAAAATGCGAAGCTTATTTTATCACTAAATCCCTTCATTTCATATCTCCGAATTATTTATATATATATATACATATACAGGGTGGCGCATCGAAGACGAAACAGACGCATTTACTGGCAGCTCAGTTTTTTTTAAAAAACGCTCAGACCCGTCGATTTTGTTTTCGAGGGGGACACAAGTTTGGCAAAAAATCACGTTAGCACGTGCAGCCCTCTAAGCGGGGGTGACACCACCGCCAAAATCTTAAATGGAAAGCTGGGTCGAGTGATACCTTATTTTAAAGGTCTTTCAATTCCCTTTATAATGATACAAAATTAATGTACTTCAGTTCAGTAGTTTTGAAGATTTATTGATTTAAAGCTTAAATAAAACTAATACATCATCATTGGTGGAGATCAATACATTTGGCAGCACAGTAATTTAAAAATGAAGAATGAACTGACCCGTTAGGCAAGTAAATGTTGAAAATGGCCACCATGACTATCCTTGCAATAATAAAGATTTTGCTCAGAACGTTGCCGCACATGTTGTAATATTTGAGGAGTACTTTGAAGGCACTCATTCACAATTCTTTGTCGCAGGTCTTCTAATGATGTTGGCTGAGTAGCATAGATTTTGCTTTTTAAAAGACCCCACATAAAGAAATCCAAAGGTGATAAATCTGGCGATCTTGGGGCCATTCAATGGCACCTCTTCTACCAATCCATAGATCTAGAAACGTCTGATCTAAATATTGTCGAACACGTAATGCGTAATGTGGTGGGGCACCATCCTTTTTGAACATCAACCTATTCGTAATGTACCGCCTTTCATTCTGATTTTCAATTATGGCTGTTAATGCAGGATTTATGGCGTCTTCCAGTAATGCCAAATATACTAAGTGACATATAAATCCGAACACCCAGTTTAAATGGTTTTATTATAATAAAAGTTGGTGAATGTATTTATCTTACTGTAAATAACCAGTGAAAAAATTTTCAGCCTTACCAGTTTGGACATTCCGGTTATTATACTGCTTTTTTTAATTCACTAACGCTCTAAAAATGAATATTTCAGCCGCAGTAAAGAATCAACGTTGGCGGATTTTGGTTCTTGACATCCTTTACGATCGGCTACGATGCCTAGAGTACGGAGACCTGTACGATTTCGTCAACTTAGTGAGTTTGATAGGGGCCGTATAGTGGGACTTCGGGAAGCTGGACTTTCTTTTCGGGCAATTGCAGTTAGAGTGCAAAGAAGTGTAGACACTGTGGTTAGGTGTTGTCAGGCATGGCTTCGAGAAGGCCGTACGCAAAGAACAAGGGGCACTGGACGCCGCCGTAGAACAACAGACCGTGAAGATCGCCGCCTAAGATTATTGGCCTTAAGCGACCGTTTCTCCAATACCAGGTCCATTGCAAATGAATGGTTTGCAGAACACGGAAGACCTATTGGCATGCGAAGTGTTTAATGACAAATGAGAAGTTTTGGCTTGTTTTCATACCGGCCACACTGGGTCCCCCTTTAACTCGAGAACACCGACGTCATCGCCTTGAGTGGTGCAGACAACGGTCACTCTGGGATCAGGAATGGAACAGTATTGTCTTTAGTCACGAGTCTCGATTTTGTTTAGGCATGCACGATGGTCGTGCCAGGGTTAGAAGGCGACGTGGTGAAAGGAGGAATCCACAGTTTTTTGCTGAAAGACATGTTCATCACACTGTTGGAGTTATGGTTTGGGGTGCTATAGCTTATGGTTCCAGGTCAGCTTTATTCTTCATCAGAGGTAACATGAACGCGCAGCGTTATATCCACGATGTTCTAGAACCCCATCTTTTACCCTATCTTGACACCCTGGCAGATCCAACTTTCCAACAAGATAATGCCCGACCACATGTTGCAAGAGTCACAATAGACTTCTTTCAACATAATGATGTCACATTGTTACCATGGCCACCAAGATCTCCCGACTTATCCCCAATTGAGCACGTGTGGGATATGATGGGTAGGAAATTGCTCAATTTGCATCGTCCTCCTCAGACGCTATAAGCACTTCGAGAGGAGTTGGTGGTTGCCTGGAATAAGATACCACAGGAGGACATTGACCACCTGATCAGAAGCATGCCTAGGCGCGTTGGAGAATACGTAGCACATCAGGGTGCATCCACACATTACTAAAGGTCAAATGCTTTTAAAGCAGTGCAATCATTATGAAATTTTTATCATTTACTTATTATGCTTCATTAAGTACTTATACAAAATTTTATTAAAATAAAACCATTTAAACTGGGTGTTCGGATTTGTATGTCACTTAGTATACATTTCACCGGTCAAATTTCCAGGTAAAGCCCAAATATTTAATTTTTGTGGCTGCTGTGTATGAACCCCATGATAAATTCTGGGATTAGAATCGGACCAATATCGGCAGTTATGAGGATTTACTACGCCATTTAAGGGAAAGGAACATTCGTCGGAAAAGCAAGTGTTGAATAGAAAATGTTCATCGTTTATAATTTGTTCACCCATATCTTCACAAAATTGTAATCGCCGATCAAAATCGTCTTCATTAAGTTCTTGTACCAGGAGAATTTTATACGGATGAAAACTATGGGCTTTTAGAATCCGCTAGACAGTACGTCGACTAACACCACACACAGTCTCCAATTTGCAGAAACTTAACGTAGGATCTACATAAACTTGCCCTAAAACACCCACTTCTATTGCTTCGTTCCTTATGGGATTTTCAATGTTGCATTTTTTACTGGTGGCTGATCCAGCTTCCCGAAATTTAGGTACAAGTTCTAGAACATATTTTCTATGCACGTTACTGTTCTCATGTCGCTCATTAAATATTTCTGCTGTTCTATTAGTGCACTGATTATTTCCGAAAAATATATCGATAATTTCAACTCTTTCTGCTGTGGAATATATCATGGTTAATTTATGTAATAAAGCGTTACAAGTTACTTTAGCAACAAATTTTGGTCAAATCAATCGCAAACTATGTACTAAACTACTAACTATATTCTAAATTTTAAATAAATACGAGATATTTCCTTATCTTTCTTCAAGAAATAACTTTTTTGCCACAAAAAAACGCTCCAATAGCTATTTTTAACAACAAAATGATTAACAAACCATGGGCGTAGGGAATTGAAAGACCTTTAAAATAAGGTATCACTCGATGCCCCCTTCCCGCCATCCTGTATATAGTATTCACAGTTAATTGCCTTAACTTTTAGGAGAAAATATTCTTTTATTTCTTTGGGTAGAAGGCATATTGCAGAAGTACACTCTTATAACTTAAACTCGAGCTTTCGAAGATCTACGAGTATGTCTTCATCGTCTGGAGCTGGAAACAATTATTGACAATAGCAACAATTAACTAACCAGCGTTGTCTATGCATATTTGCTGAACTGCGAAAAATTGGAAAAGCAACTTATCTCCCACAACATAGACCTCCCGAATAATCGCTCAATCTACATAATAATACTTTTTCACCATCTTAATAAAATCAAAATCAAAATTGCTCAAAGCCTTTTGTCCTCAAGAGTGAATATTCCCTACACATTTCCTAGTTATTTGGCAGGATAACATCCAAATCACACTCCTTCCGAAGCAACATCTATCAAGTTTTGAAAATAACTTTGTACTTCATCGGTAAAGAAAAGTACAGCATCTTGCACTATATTACAAAACACACTATGTAGTAGGCAACACACGTCACAGTGACGACATAACGAATGACCTTCGAATAACCTCAATGTCACACTT